GGATAGGTGGGGAAGATAATGGTTAACATTAGATATGCACAAGTTAAGATTGTCGTGACCGGAGAAACATCCGCATGGGAGTCGATTCCACAGAGCAGTGGTTCAAGTGGAACTTCTCACCAGTGGAATACGAAGGGAATTAAGTCAGTTTGCTACAATGTGAGCCGTGAAGCTTAGAACTGGCAAAACCAAGGAATGCAGTTCGTCCGAATAATTACCGTGGAAGTCGCGAAAAAAGCAGTTAGAGTCTTGCCACATCCCATTTGTGAAAGAATAATTGCAATTTAAGCGCAATACTAGACTGGCAGTATTAGATCATCAATTTATAGTTGAGCTAACTAGGGTTAGCCGTAACTTATATGTTAACAGTTTCTTATCTCGCACTTCACCCTTGTGGAACTCCCTCGTGTCTCCTTGCTTTCCAGCCAACTTTAATCTGCAAAATTTTAAATGGAATGTCAATCGGTGTCTATTGTCCTCCTGATTACTCTTTTCTCTTTTTCTTCATTACTAATGCTTCTGTTCCTAATAGGTTCAAACCCTGTAACCCCTTGCATATTAGTGTCTGAACTTCCTTGCTTGAGGTGATACCGATTTAAAAAGAAGGAATAAAGGATATAAACGAAAAAGAAGAATGAATTTCGCTAACATAAAGAAAAAATATCAATTCCTTGCCGTTCTTAATGAATATATATGTACAATTAATAAAAAATTATCAAAGTTCAAAGGTATCTCTATCTATAAAAGGCAGGATGTGTGTGTGTGTGTGTGTAACGAATGTACGGCCGCTTTCTCTTTTGCTTTCAAACACGGGGGAAATGCGGATGTTTCAACTGTTTGGAAGTAGCTGGACGTGACCCAAATATTAATGTAGTAAGTGCGGTCTTCACTGAGTGCTTCATACTTATGGCCTTTTGCCAACCTAGACTGCGTAAATTATTAGCGCCTCAGTGTGAGACAGTAGTTAGATAATAAACCATAGGTTCATCCAAAAATACTGTAATTTAAACAATGGTTGCTTCCCTAATCACTACATCCTAAAACATAGCTGCTTCCTCAATACTACACTATCTCTATCTATAAAAGGCAGGATGTGTGTGTGTGTGTGTGTGTGTGTGTGTGTGTGACGAATGCACGGGCGCAATTTTCGACGGATTTGAACCCAAATTTACATACACACGCTCCAAGTTAGCGGGAATGCCAAGACCGACTTTGCATTTCCCAATTTCCATCGGTAGTGGAAATGATCGATTTTTTCATTCTTCTACGGCACTTTTCATGTAGTTTGCAGCCATTTTGTACTGACCAGAGTGAGAGCCTATAGCTGGCTGCCACGAATAGGCAGGAAGATTCTATTGGCCAGCGTGAGAGCCAACAGTTGACGATTGTTAACTAGCATGTTAGCATGCAAAAAAAAAAATCGATAGCTGCATTCGTCACAAGTGGGAAAAATTTAAATCTGCATGGCACTTTACTCCAATTGGCTCATTCGCTTGCTTAAACTCAACGTTGATTCTGATTCCGCAGAACTGGGTTGGGTGTTAAAAAGTATTTGTTGTTAACATTCTTTTTTCATTCGGTTCTTCCAGTTACGAGTGCTTTTTTAAAGCTGATCGTTTTGTGTTCATTTTGTTTAGTTCTTTTTTCGTAACAGATTTAATGTTTAGCATAGAGCTTAGAAAAAATTCGCAGTGTGAGATAGGCAAGAAGTAAGGCATGTAGCAATATCAGCACGGCAAAAGGCACTCCTTTAAAGGCAAGGAAGGGCAAAAAATTTTTAAGTGAAGTGATAGCGATTGCTGTATGAGTCGTACGATTTTTGAATCAAGCACGAGCAACGCCGGGCCATGCTGCTAGTTATATATATATATATAACAAACTCTTAATAACGCTAATTATTGACATGGGCGCAATGTACTGGCTGTATTTAGAAATTAAAATATGCTTATTTTCAGCAAATTTATACCGTCTACAATAACACTTACGCACCATTTATTATAGCAGTTTGACAAAAAATAATCCTTGAAAATTGCTGTTTAACCGAAAGCGTTGGGCATCAACAAAATATTGAACAATTTTTACATTCATTAAGACAGAAAAGAAAAGAAAATGTATGTGCATACATGGAAAACAAAAATGAAACAAAAAAAATTTCTCAGTCTTGTTCAACGAAAAACATATTAAAGTTGAACTTCTGTACAAATAAACAACTATCCATACATATTGTGTTTTTTAAACTCACAATAACAACAGAATTCAGATTTTTATCGCAGGTACAATAAGTTTGTGTCATATATATATATATATATATATATATATATATATATATATATATATATATAATAAAGGCTCAAACACTAATATTCCATGGTTATAATTGGATCGAAACCAATGTAATAAATTATAACCATGGAATATTATTGTTTGAGCATTTTATATATATATATATATATATATATATATATATATATATAATATTGATAATTAGTAGGGATAATATACATATATATATATATATATATATATATATATATATATATATATATATATATATTTGAAATTTTATCCAGCATTCTATGATGGGGAATAGGGATGCAAATTCGATGCACGGTTTTTTCATACAGCTCAGACTTAATTTATCTCTAGAGACATTGAGCACTGTTTGTTTTGTTGTTTAGCTAGATATCTGTTTTTTTATACTTATTCTTTTGTCTTTAATATCTTCCTCCTTTGACAAGGTTTGTATTGTAATAAGAGTGCAACAGTATGTTAAAGACAATAGTAGAAATTCTGATCAATTACGGGTTTTTTGCTCCCTAACGTTCGTTGATTTGAATAAGCGAGAAACAAGTATGTAAAAAAAAAAAAAAAGTCTGTTCCTTTTAAGTTTTTCTCACATACGGGATTTTTCTCTCGGTCGAGCCTCATGACGCATTACTTAAAGGAAGAAAAGTGAACCTGGATAGTTTTCTAACATATATATATATATATAAATATATATATATAGAGAGAGATGCATGTATATATATTTTATAGTAAAAAAAAGAAAGAACAGTAAGATATATAAACCGGTGTTCTTATAGATATTTTTATTATATATACATACATATATATATATATATATATATATATATATATGATAAGATAAAGAACAAATAAGAAACGATTATCAATCTAACATGTCTTACTTTTATTAAAAGCTTCATCAGAAATTGAGAAAACAGACAAAAAAAGAATTTTAGTATTTTTTATTTGTTCTTTATCTTATAGTCCTGTTGCATTCCGATATATATTTTATCTGCATTTGATCTGAAACTCATATATATATATATATATATATATATATATATATATATATATATATATATATATATATATATATATAATGACATATACTTTGATGGTATGCTATATAATTTGGGTAAAAGTGTTCAGAAATAAAGCGTATGTAAATATAATGTGGACACTGAGGTCAACACCAAGCGGCTACAGTCTGTTTCATTCTTGAAAGGAATCTTCAGGACATATGTGTTATGTTTTGGCTTGACTATTTATATATGCTTGTCAATGGTGCATTATGGGTAATAAGGTGTATTGTATTATGCTAATGTTTATTGGATGGACGGTAACAGTTATTCAAAAGTTATTCTCGAAGTTATTGAGATGAAATAATTGTGCGTCCGACTCTGGGTATTTGTAACTATTTTATAATTTTCTTAACTTTCTACTCGTTATTACTTAATGTTTTATATTACTTACTACAATATTACATATTACAATATTATTTATTGATTACTTAATTATTTGTCTTTCATTATTATTATTATATTTACTTGCGCTTTCGTATTTTGTCAATTTGTTTATTTATTCAGATTTTTTGATTATTTTATTTTTCTTTCGTTTTGTCAACTGCAGTGTTCAACTGCATATAAAAGCTGTATTTCGAAAGCTGATTTTCAAGGCAGACACTTACCCTGACGCATTGAAAGGATTTTGATTTGCAAAATGTTTGCACATTGTCAATGAAGTCCTTTAAAGCATAAAACTAGGCTAGAAAAATATCAATAAATAAGCAGAATTCATGGCTAACGAAACCACCTCTAGGCGCACGAAGTATACTGGCTATATATATATTGGCTACACATTTTGTTAGCTAAATTTAGTGATGAGGAAAATATTCCTGTGAAGGGTATAAACACAGAACTGCTGGCTTCTGTACTGTCTGGAGCAGCTCGGCGCTGGCAATCAACCAGATAATATATAATACAGGAAGTAGGGGACAGGCACTGGGGTTTTGATGTTGGAAATATGTGGAAGCTGGGTCGACCAGACGGACATCAGGTGCAAACTACTTAAGGAGCCGGCAAGGCATAAACTGCGACTATAGATTTAATCATTTTAGTCCAAGTACGTCGATAATGCTACTAGGATGCAAGGGGTTACTGGGAGTGAAAGAGAATGAGAAGACTTTAGTGAGGAGAAACGACAATAAGAATAGGGTTCAGAAAATCAAAAGGGGTCGATTGGAGTTGCATTTAAATTTTTGAAGATTTTACTTGGTAGGAAAGCAACAAACTGAAACAGTGCTCCACATGAGAGAATTACTAGCAAAGAAACTTCTAGATAGAACTCAAGCTAGGTCAACAGTAAAAAGTTGAGACCTATTCGCCAATCTAGTAGAACGCTTTAATGAAAAAAGTCGGGGTATTATAAGCAAAATAGAAAATGAAAATTCTAAGAGCAATTAGTTCGTTTTCTACGGTTTATCAAACCTTTGCAGGTTATTTAAAGCCGGAAAATATTTTTAGATTATAAGAATTTTTTTGATAATAACGGTTTAGTGCTACAAATCATATTAATTAACTAGGTGTACAAAAGGTGACTTCATACCTTTCCCAAGGTCATTTGCGCACGTCAATATAACCCTAGCGAGAATTGGAACTCAGATCTCCGATTTCTCATTCGACTCGTTATCCATTACAAAACTGGACATCAAATTTTACAGCACCTGGTATTCCCAAGTCGTCACCCATCTAGGTACTGACCAGGCTCACCATTGCTTAAATTGGTGATCGTACCGGAACTAGTGTTTCAACGCGTGGTGACCGTAAGTCAAAATAGTAAGAAATACAGTATATATTAGTTAAACAGAAAAGACTACTACTACTACTACTACTACTACTACTACTACTAATAATAATAATAATGCTAATAATAATAATGCAAAAAGTTTTATAATTGGCACGTTAAAAGAGAAAAAGGGTGGGAAACTCGTATGTTTTAGTTTTAATCGTATGAGCTGTCAGTATAAATCTATAACGGAAATTAGCAAAATTACTTTTGAGGAAAAGGAATGACTGTTATTTTTCATGTAAGTAGAATTATGTAAGGTTATGTTTAAAATAGTCGGCACTTTCTTTCTTTTGCGGATGTACGAGGTGTGTGAGGTCGATATGTCAATTTATCTTCCCGTCGTGATTTAGTTAGTTACTGACTCATTTTATCGTTATGAAATATGACTGCAAACAATTATAAACATGGGTGTGTCTTCTTTCACGTATATTTAATATTATATATCATATATAAAATGTGCGTGAGATATTTGGGGACACATTGAAGATCGTAAGAAAAACAACATCTAACAAACAACTAAAACAAAACAAAACACTTGGTACACAGACGCCTTAATGCTTGCATTACATGTTTATTCGATGTAAACGACTTCAGCTGCAATGGTGGCGCCAAAATGGTTGACATGTACTCATCACATGATCTGTTTTGATATAGGCATTACTCAGGTAATGGTAGCTTTTAGGCAATCAGTCCTACTAGGGTAATATTGATTACTCTCACGTTCAACAACACCCTTCATGTAATAGCCAAGGGGATTTAGATATGGCAAGTTAGGTAGCCACATGTTTGGTATGATGTTGTGCAGATTGAACTCCATTCAATCTTGAGTCACCTCAGTTTTCTCAGCCGGTGCAGGGTCCTACTGCATAAAGCCTTTCATCGCATAAAAGGGCTTCATAACTGTGTCCAGTGCCTTAGTATAGCGAGCAGCATTCAACCGAAGACTATGTTGAAAGAAGAAGAGTCACCTGATGTGACCTTCACTAATCACCAATCCTAAAACCATCGCAGATGTGGGAAACTAATTTGCATAACATGAAAAACCAGAAGGATCCGCATATAACCATCTGTCGTATCTCCAGTTCAGATTTTTGATCCTAGTTGAATTTTTGTTTACGTCTGAAAAAAAAAAAACAAAAAACAAAAAACAAAAAAACCGCGTATCAGATTCATCTGGTTGTTTTAAATTTGCTCAGTAAACGTTTTGCTCGGAGCAACCGTTGTTTTTTTTTTGTTTTGTTTTTTGTGTGTGTGTGCAAAATGAACTGCCATTTCCAATACACGTATGACTTGCATCGAATGTCCTCATGCACCAAATTAAGGATTGTGCGCTTGGACATCTGGAAGTCTCTAGCAATAGCCGTTCCGTGATTCGAACTAATAAGGAACTACACCCGGTGTACTAATTGTAGTGTACGGATGCTGTCCGAACGGTGTGAATGCTTTTTACCCTTCACCAAAGGTACCCTCCTTCGGGCTGGAAGCTTCCATCTCCTTCCAAAATCTGTGTAAAAAAGACCTGGGGACTTCCAAAAAATGTGCAATCTCAAATCGATGCGTCTATCAGAACAATTTCATCTCTTGCGTTAGTTGATCGATCATCATTGGTACTCTGAAAGGAGAAAGAATATATATATATATATATATATATATATATATATATATATATATATATATATATATATATATTTATTCTGTTTATGCGTTATTTTTATAGATAAAATTTATGTAAAATGCTGCGTTTTAATTAAAACAGTATTAATTATATATTACGTATCTATAAAATAACGTATAAACAGAAAATATATTAAATAATTGTCGAATTTAATCCATTTCATTATCTATCTATCTATCTATCTATCTATATATATATATATATATATATATATATATAAACTGTTTATTATGAAGGTATTATATTGGACAGCATATATTTTATATTATAAAGAGGTAATCATACAATGAATCAATTAGTAATATTAATGTAATTCTATTCGCTAACAGACTTAATATAAGCATTAACTTAATAATAATCCACTGAATGACTCGATCCTTATGTATAGAATTGTTGTCAGATGGATATGGTGTATTTTTAGAGCAGCAAGTACTTTCGAAAACTTCATGTTCTCATCGTCAGGCTGTAATATTTTTCATTTAGAAATAAAACTCCAAGACAAAATAAATGTATTTTAGACCGAAAGATGACTTTTTTAAAGAATGTGTTATTTATAAACAGTTATATAACATTGGAACGTGCAAGTCGCAACGCTAGAGTTCAAATATTTCCCGTGAGAATTTCTAGTGAGACATATCACTCTATTAATTGAACTATATACTTCGTTTATGTCAAGTTAACTGGAAAACACG